TCTTTCCTTCTGAACAATTTCCATTGAAATAATTGACCTGCTTTTATGGTAATTTGGTCTCTGCTATTTGTTACTCCAGCATTTTGCAAAGAAAAATGCAAAACTAATGCCCTAGAACAGAAACATTCAGCCAAATTACTTACCAGTAATCCAAGGAATCATGGATAAATCCATTCCTCAAGAGGCTTCTCCTTTTGAGCTTTATACTGTTTTCACCCAAGGGTTGAGATTTCGTGTTTTTGTGGGTGGAGGGTTGTTTTGTTTTTGAAAGGTAATGCTCATGCTCTCTGCCCTAGAGCAACTTTATATAAATCTCCTCTGAAAAGCATATCTGCCAGCACTGTCACTCCACCCACAAGCTTTCACTAGTAACACCAGCTAAAAATATTTAAAGGGGCTGTTTCCACTTGTTTGGTGCATTTCATTTCATGTTTCTGCCTCCTTCTTTCTTCATCACTCAAAAAAGTCAATAAAAGATATAATTTAAGTCTTGTGTTTTGAAGTGACAACCAGCAAACAGCCTTATACCATGATTAATGAGTATTCAGGAACAGTTTGCTATAACTTACAAGTAGGTTGGGGCCTACTGAATTTGTGTTACAGTAAATGGAGAGATTCTGGTTATGGGTTGGGACTTTCACTGAGTCACCAGATATACTATATTTTCCAGTAATTTTTACCACTGCTGCAGATGTTCACATCAAGGTGTTATGCAGTCCTAGGGAAGTACAAGGTAGCACAGAAGTGACACTCAAGGAGGCTGGAGCATCTGAGAAGTTAAACAGTAACAAGGACCTTAGTTTCTGTTAAAAGCTAGAAACTATGATGAACGTGTATGATGAAAATCATGATGTCTTTTAAATAAATAAAAATAAATGCTGTTTTGAAAATCAAAATATATGTTCTTCAGTTTTACCTAATGAATATGTTTTTCTTGATTTCTTTGACTTCTAGAAAGATTGGCATTCTGTGGAGTTTCTGTATTGTTTTTTTTTAGGGGAAAGGTGTACCAAAGTAAAGAGATCGTAAATGTTGCCCAGCTGGTTTAAGCAGGACCATTGTCAGTAGAAGGCTTCTGGGGTTTGATAACAGCTAATGTGCTCTGAATTTCTTTACTCTCCTTTGGAGGTTTGTTGAGTTAGGTGGATTCCCGTGGCTAAGAAAGTCAGCATCTCAGGAAGGATGACAATGCACAGACATTCTGCTCTTTTTCATCTTTGTATCCTGAAAAAGTGCAACTTTTTGGTAGTGATAGTTCACAGGTGGAAACATTAGTTCTAGTGTGACCTCTTGAAAATAGAAGTAGACTGGGAATCAATCTGGGGCTGCAGGAACAGTTTGAATATTTTTATTACTGCCTGAATCTTAGGGAAGTTTGGTAGCAATATTTTGTATTGTGTGCTCACTCTGCTTACACAAGCAGCTTCTACACGGGGGTTGAGTTACAGGGTTGGAGTAGTTGTATTCATGAAACTCCTGTGAAAGTACTGATTGCATAGCTAGGTTCTGTCTTCATGAAGCTATCTCACTTTCCCAACTTGGCATTTTGGTCATTAATATATCTCCATGTTTCTGGTACTCCAGGATCACTGTAAATGGAAGAGACTTGGTATTCTCAGCACTCTATTTTGAGCTGCATGCCCTCTTTCTTAATCTCTGTGTTGGGTAGGAGTAATGATTGATGTCTTGAAACATTTTACAAATAGTATATTGAACATTTCAGTCTGGTGTTGCTTGTTTGTAGGTATCTTAATTTAGTAAAGCAAACCCAAATAACCTAGTAGCAAATGACTTTTACATGAAATGAGGTGATGATCTCAATACAGACTTTTGTGGAAAATACATGATTACTTGTTCTCGCAGTACAGAGTTGAAGATTGGCAGTGTTCCCTATAGGATATGGATTTCTTCCATGGGTGAGGCCGGGTGGGACATCTATGTGATTCTGCTTGTTTGATGAAGGATAAGAAGAATATTATGAACTAAGACACTAAGACAGTATTATTTTTTTTCTTTTTTTTTTTCTTTTTTCTTTTTCTCTCCCCCCTTTTTTTAACAAACAACAAAAACAACAAACTATTCAGTCTAAGCTATAAAACTGTGTGGCTACTCCTGCCCTATTAATTCTCCTAAAAGGGTGAATACCTTATGTGTAGATTTGGAGATTTAGACAGATTATTAATTAAATTATTGTTATTCTATAATTATTATTAAATTATTATAAATAATTATTAATTAATAATTATAAATTATTAAAAATGAAAAGAATTTCTTTATATAAAACAAAATGTAGTACAGCCTAGATTCAGAATACCCAGACTGCCATGCTTATATTAATATAATACCACAGACAATTATATTTCTCAGTTTATATTTTAATTTGTTTCTTTCTCACAGAGCATAGACTATGATTTCATAATGTTAACGAAATATGTGTAGTGATGCTTCTGTAGGCCGCTGTGGGTAAATAATTGCAATATGAGGAAAGTGATTCATAACGTAGCTTTAAGCCTTTGAAGTAGGACTTTGTGATTGATTAGGATATAAGCAAAGTAGACTGCAATGTTTCAAAAAACCCTTCAAAGCCACTGACAAATCAATCTATAGTCACTGGAAGAATCGCCAATTTCAGACCAACACATTTTTCTGTGGGAAATTTGGGGGATTTGTGCTTAAGGCCTTATAAGAGACAGATAAACTAATTTTTGTTGTTTTTCCCTCATAACTACACCTCATGTTCTTTGAACAGTCAGGTGAGTAAAGCTTGTGCCTTCTCATGAGAAGAGGTACTGGTCTGAAATACCTTTATATTTTTATATATAAGATATCTTTAATACCTTTATCGATGATCTGGATAAGAGGATTGAGTGCACCCTCTGTAAGTATGCAGATGACACCAAGTTAGGTGCGTGTGCCGATCTGCTCGAGGCTAGGAAGGCTCTGCAGGAGGATCTGGATAGGCTAGAACAATGGGCTGAGGCCAGCTGTATGAAGCTCAACAAGGCCAAGAGCCGGGTCCTGCACCTGGGGCACAATAACCCCAAGCAGAGCTACAGGCTGGGAGATGAGTGGTTGGAAAGCTGCCTGGCAGAGAAGGACCTGGTAGTTTTGGTTGATAGTCGGCTGAATATGAGCCAGCAGTGTGCTCAGGTGGCCAAGAAGGCCAACAGCATCCTGGCTTGTATAAGAAACAGTGTGGCCAGCAGGGCTAGGGAGGTGATTGTCACCCTGTACTTGGCTCTGGTGAGGCCGCACCTCGAGTACTGTGTTCAGTTTTGGGTCCCTCACTACAAGAAGGACATGGAAGTGCTTGAGAGAGTCCAGAGAAGGGCAACGAAGCTGGTGAGGGATCTGGAGAACAAGTCTTACGAGGAGTGGCTGAGGGAGCTGGGCTTGTTCAGCCTGGAGAAAAGAAGGCTAAGGTGTGACCATATTGTTTTCTATAGGTAACTTAAAGGAGGCTGTAGCAAGGTTGGGATTGGTCTATTCTCCCATGTGCCTGGTGACAGGATGAGGGGGAATGGGCTGAAGTAGCACCAGGGGAGGTTTAGGTTGCATATTAGGAAAAACTTTACTGAAAGGGTTGTTAGACATTGGAATGGGCTGCCCAGGGAAGTGGTTGAGTCACCATCCCTCGAGGTCTTTAAAAGATGTTTAGATGTAGAGCTTAGTAATATGGTTTAGTGGAGGACTGGTTAGCATTAGGTCAGAGGTCGGACTGGGTGATCTTGGAGGTCTCTTCCAACCTAGACGATTCTGTGATTCTGTGAAAACATGTCTCCTCCTCTTCCTGCACAGGTATCCTGCTCAACACCAAGTGTCAGGACATATACAATGCCAAGAACAGACCCAAAATCCAGGCCTATGTCTGGCAATTTTTTTATTTTTAATTTATTTTTATTATTTTTATTTTTTATCTCTCCTGCTTATTCAAATCTAGACCAAGTGCAGAATCCACTTGAGTTTCTCTATTGCTACTTGTACTTCTGAGAGATATGAGTATTAATTTCTGACTGCTAGAAAAAGAAACATACAGAGCTATCTAAGAAATACGTACATGTAGACAGGAAAATGCTTTAAAAGAGTATAAAGTACAGTGCAAATATTGCTGTCACTTCTTCTCCAGTCATATGCTACACTTAAAAAAGCCAGCATGTTTTCTTCTACAAAAAGATCTTTATATTTCTAAACTTTCAGAAGTCTCAAGCAATATAAAAAATGGCCTGAGTAAAATGACATCATATTAGTCCTAGAGTCCTGCATCTCAGCTGCTTAGTCATTTAAATCAATGGAAATAAGCATAGCAGTTACTTTCAAAAGGTCAAAGAAGTTACTGTCTTTTCAGCTTTGAATCAGCTGAGATACTCCAGTTTCTTGGAAATATAATGCCAAGATTGCATCTCTGCATCTCATTTTTTCCCCTCATTGGAAAACAGTGTAGTAATTAGCTTAAAGCGCAAATCACACCACAGTTAGTAGAATACTATACACTGAAAGTTCCCTTCTATTTTCTCTTTCACTTGCAACTAGTTTAAAGAGGAGTTTTAGCCCACAATGTGTACTAAATGTGTTGACTAAAGTTCAAACTCCAAAAAGCTCTTCACGTTTTTTAATAAAATAAATCGTTGGTCAGTACAAATATGACAGTTATTTTACCATTTTCTCAGAAGGAAAATAAGTGATGAAGTGTTCCTTGGAGAGTCATTTATAAGAAAACTAAAATGAAGGCAGAAGTCATTTAAAAACTTGGTTTTAAATGCAATTTGTTGTCTTCTTTGTAAAAGTAGCATGGTTTCTGGGAGGAAGCACGAATCATCTAGACAGCATTGGAAACAAATTTTTTTTTTTTTTTTTTTTTTGTTTCTTGTCAGAGGTGTTGGTCAATCAACTGTTTTGATCGGAACACATTTATCTATATAACAGGGCTTTACTGTGTTTCAATAAATTCCTTACCTGTTCTTCCAATGACTGTTTGTTTTATTTCCATGTTTTCAGCTGCCACTCTGCTGTTGAGGTGAAACTGTCCAGAAGGGTTGCTGAGCATTTCCATTTTGGGGTATATGCAGCCTTCTCAGAGCTGGGAGCTGCACGCTGGTGTTCCTGGGACTTCTGGCTGCTTGTACTGCTGATAATGTTGCTTTGGTTTGTGAGACTTTACCTGCATTACTGTAGCCAGTGGATCTTCCTTAAGACCATCTCTGTTCCAGTTACAAAGTAAGTCCTGTCGCCTTCTCTCTCTGTTGGAATATTTATACAAATCACTTGATTTAAAGCAGTTCCTTTTTGTTACGAAGAGAATTGGTGACTGAGACTAAGGATTCTGCATGCAACCAAGATAGAAGCATTTGCAGAGATTCATAGAACAAGGACCACATCCAAACACTAGATGATCTGATATGTAAGTGTGACCCTAACAGAAAGGGGAAATATATCTTAAACTCAGAACACAATGTGTCCATTTGCGCATCTTGTGCCACCCTTACCTCTTACTCCTCCGAGATACCCAACAGATTATGTATCTTCCAAAATAATAATTTATCATTTTGGATCAAGTATTTTGAAATGCCTAAGAAAATGGTGTGGCCTTGAGGTGAGGAGTAGGACATAATCTCTTTGAATTGCTGGAACTCCTAGGACATTTTCTCCACAGCTGAGATGCAGGCCCCTAAGGAGGAAGAGATACTTTCTTCATATTGCCAGAATTGGCCAGACAATTCATCCATTAGTTGACCATCTCCATCTTTGCAGGTCATTGCCACCAATGAGCTGTCATATGACAATGGTGCACTCCATACAAACTTCTGCCACATGTGTTTTGTGCACTTCATTTGGATCTTTGGATAGCTGTTTTTTGTCTAGATCACTTTAAACAACCTCTAGCATGGCTAATTACCTCAGGTACTGGACAACTCTCTCCATAGTGGTCAACTTGCCTGGATGACAAATAACATCTTCCTTGAAGGGATACCTTTCCTTCATGCCTGGCTTCTGCCCTAGGTAGCCACATTGGAGTGCCTGCTGCAGGGGTTGGAGTAGCTGCAGGGCCTGTTGCTAGGATGCATCCAGCTACTAAAAAGAAAATTAATTCTGTCCCAGCTCAAATCAGAACAGAAATGCACAGAACTGAAGAGGCATTTAAATCATACTTGATGTTACCAAATTGATCTATAAGTAAAATACTTCAGAATAATTTAAATTTGATGTATCAGTTTTACTGTGATAACTACAATGGGTTGACATATTTTAACTATATGATACATTAACTTTAGAACAGGAATGAGAATTCTCTATAGAGCTCCAGGAAAATCATTACATGTCATCATTTGACATGAAAAAAAAAAAAAAAAAGATGGATAGGAGAACAACTCCACAAGTTGATATATACCTAGTTCCCTATATGTTCCTGTGGGGAAGAGAATGGGCTTGTAGAGAAAAAAAAAAAAAAGAACTGTTGTATTTATGGTAGGAAAGATTTTTCCAGTACAAACATTTACATACACACACATATATATATATTCACTTTAAAGTATCATTAAAAAAAAATATAAAAAATTGGTAGGTGCTAGTAACTTGCAAATCTGTGACCTGTCTCTGCTTTGAGTTAACTGGGTGATAACTAGGATTACTGGGTGAAATTTGAATAGGGTATCTGAGCAGACATTGGACAGTGCTGGGTATGGTTAAAGTGGCCTTCAAGATCTTGATGCAAAGCCAGCCATCTCTAGCTTCTGGCCTTGCACAGACCAGGAGGGCTCAGCCAGCTGGCAAAAAAGCTTTTGGGAGGCCAAGCATCAAAAGCATGTGAAAGCAAAGAAACAGAAGGAAGCAAGGTGTGACAGAAAGGTAGTCATGCTCAAAGACACTAATCACAGCTGTTCCAGACAGTCAGCTACATTAAGGATAATGTTCTCAAGCCAAGATGCCTTGAATCAGCATCTGAATCTGGAGCTGCATTTCCTCAGAACAAGAGATCAAGTTGAACACCCTCCAGTTCCACCAAACACAGTGGTAGCATTCACAAATCAGAACCAAAGTGACTATCAGACCACTTTACCTATAGCTAGGAGCAAAATCTAAGGCACTTCAGTTGGCTTGAAATTTTTGCCTTGTGTTTCAGCATCTGTACATAACTCATAATATCTTTTGCAGTTCCTGTCTCCTACAGCACCAGCATATTTACATATGCAAGCTTTTCAATTCCTTCTTACACAGTGGCTAATATAGGAAAATATGATGAAAAGGACTCCAGGGTTGAGATGAGGACGGGGAGATCACTCAACAATAATTGTAATGGGCAAAATAAACTCAGCATAGGGAGATTTATATAATTTATTACTTATTACTAACAAGCTAGAGCAGTGAGGAATGAAAACCAAAACCAACCAACCAAAAACCTTCCCACCATCCATCCTCTTCTATATACTTCCCCCGAAAGGCACAAGGGAATGGGGAATGGGGGCTGCAGTCAGCTCCTAACTCTGTCTCTGCCGCCCCTTCACGGTCACTTTCTGCCCCTGCTCCCAGTGCGGTCCCTCCCACTGGATGCCATCCTTCCCGAACTGAGCCTGCGGGAGCTGCCCACAGGCAGCAGCTCTTCAAAAACTTCTCCAACTTGGGTCCATACCATGGGGTCCATTCGTCAAGAGCAAGCTGCTCCAACATGCGCCCTCCATGGGCAGCAACTTCCATCAGATCACCTACTACTGTGTGGGCTCCTCCACGGGCTGCAGCATGGAGATCTGCTCCATGTGGGACCCATGGGCTGCAGGGGGACAGCCTCTCCACAGGCTGCAGTGCCTGGAGCACCTCCTGCCCTCCTGCTGCACTCACCTTGGGGTCTGCAGGGCTGGTTCTCACTCCTCATTCTCCCAGCTGCTGTGGCACAGAAGTTTTTTTTTCCCCTTTCTTTAAATCTGCTCTCACAGAGGCACTAAAAACATCAACTATTGGCTTGGCTCTGGCCAACAGCAGGTCTCTTTGGCCTGTATGGAGTAGCTTCTGGATTCTTCTCACAGAGGCCACCCTTGCAGACCCCTGCTACCAAAATGTTGCCATGTAAACCCAATACACTCCTATAATCCAGCCTGGTGAGTCCCAAGGATCTAGAATTGTATTGAGTGAAATGAGAGATGAGATCAAAGGATGAGGAGGCAGGAGGAGAAGGCTTTGTGTCTTTGAGTAGCTTCATACGCTTGTGATTTACAATGCCATGTGCTGTGTGTGATTTTTAATGGTTTATCCAGGAGCACAGACAAACTCTCTCCTTGTGCTAATTTACAGATTCCAGTTTTTCCCTCACACTGTTGAGCTGTGCTACCAGAACTCCTTGCTGCAGACCAGTGAAGAGTTGGTCATGGTTGTTGTGGGACCCCTAACCTTGAACGCTGGGCTACTTCTTATGGTCCTGATCAAATGGGGCTGTCAGCAGCTGTTTGATTCATTCCCTTCCTTCTTGTCAAAGTTTATCATAGCTCTGGGACTCTGGACAGTGCTGGACCCCTTGGCAGTGTTAGTAGTGGATTCGTTCCTGGGGGTAAGTCACTTAAAATAACTTGGACATGAGTCCTTGACGTAGAAGTTTGTTTTATTCAGTGAATCAGTGGAAGATAAGAAATTCCACCCCTGGCAATGGAACATGAAAGTTAAAAAGAAATTAAAAAATAATGTTATTATTTACCTTTTTTTAAACAAAATTCCCATCTAGTGGAGTCACCATGTTTCTGCATAAAATTAAGAGCATTGCACAAGTCATATATGGATATAAGAAAATGAATACACCAGTGGAATGATTGCATCTGTTTTGAAGAGGATTACTGCACTTTTGGATGTTAGCAGAGATGGGTTAATGAGTGGTCCTGATTATTAGCATTAGCATTAGCATAGGAGATATTTCTGAGCACTGAAACAGACAAAATGAAAAAAGAGCAAAAGCAAAGCAAAAGGAGAGGGTATTGTGCACTTATTTGACATGCAAGGTAGTTAACACTATTTTGTGGAACACCTAGAGAGACTTGTAAGATAGGAAGATGAACATCTTTATGGAAACACCCCCATCGCACCTGAAGTCATATGTTCAAAGCCCTCAGCTCTACCTGTGCCTATATATGGTCTGTGTAGCACATCTGTATGTTGGTGACAAGGGGACTTCTGTCACATATAGTGGCCAGTCTCCTGGAACATGCCTTTCAGATCCAGGTCTCATTGTGCAGCTGGCATAGGGTCCTTTTGATGGGCACAGGGCGCTACAAATTTTTGTGAAGGTGTGATACTGTCCTTCCCCCGCCTGCTTTCAAAGACATCTACTTCTGCTGTTTACTACAAATCAAAGGGTAATCTACAGTCGTTGTCATGGATCAGGTCTTCTCATGTCTCTTGATTCCTCATTCACTAACCTGAGCTCTCCTTTTAAGTCCTGTTAAAATGTGATTGTCCGTTGCTTACATACTGTTTCCCATTGTGGTGTTTTTCAAAATTAAAATTCACCTGTTCGAGTTTAATTGTGGCTTGCTTGGGAGGTAATGCCTTATTTTTAGCATGTGACAACACACTGTAGCTTTCACTTGGACAGCCTGGCTTTTTGTTTGTTTGCATGCTTGCTTGCTTGCTTGTTTTTAATTTCATGGTGCAAGCCATGCACAGAATTAAGTTTTAATTGTAATTACTCAGATGAAGACTTTTTTTTTTTTTTTTTCCTGAGGAAGAAAATGGGTATTTTCCCAATATCTAGGCTAAAAATAACTAAAGTTTTACACACACACACCCCATTGGTGTATTAAAAAATCTGGAGGAAAGGCCTGAGTGTGGTCTACTTTGCCTTTACCACAATTGTACTGAGAAAATTGTTGCTTTTGACTTCACTAAAATGTGCTTGGTTTGAGTCAGTCTGGCTTTGTTACCAATTTCAAATAGGGCTTGTTTGCTTGTTCAGAGGGAAATGTGAGATATGAATAAGATAAGTTTTCATTACCGTGCACACCCCTCTCTGTATTTTATACTGAAAATTTGGCAATTTTACCCACTGAGACTATAATTGGTAGAAACTCCTTTGTTCAAATATTACACTATATAGTATGTGCATCCTTTCCAAAATGAAACTGTCTCTTACATGTGTTTTTGGTATCCCATTTATGATTTTTTTTTTCTCCTGGCATTCTTTCAGCAGCTATTTCAGATTTACTTGCCAATCTATTTCAGATGAAGCCTTTTTGAATATTATGCCATAGTAATATGAGTTATTTTAGTGCTAGAATATGTTTTACCACCTAGATGGATTTAATACTGATGAAAGATGACAGAGAGCCCTGGGGACAAAGGTTTTGCTGTTTACTATTTTATTATTATTATTATTATTAAGGGAAGACTAGTTAGTATTTGAATGCTTGCGGGATTTCAGCTCTTAACGTGAGATACTGTGTGAAATTTGTGAATCCAGGCCTGCTTTGCAGAAGGATCATTCAAGGGGTAAGAAACTTGCCTATGACTGTGTTGAATTCAGTTTGAGTTCTGCCAGAGTTTTCCTGGGACCAGTCACTTTGTACAGCTTGTAAAATGCACAGTAGCACCTCTTTAGCAACATGGATGTTTGTCATCCTAAAAAACATTAGAGACTGTGAAGTGCTCACATGACCATCACTGTGTGATGTGACAAGTACAGAAGACAGGTATTGATGAATGCTATTTAAATAATTTAAAATTAAGACACCTTTCTTGGATTGTGTCTTTGAAGACCACAGAAGGATTGTCACAATTGCATAGTTAGAAAGAAATTGATAGAGAGATAAATGTACACTTCCTCATGCTATTTTTTTCTCTTGCCAGAAAGAACTGCTTGGATAAGAAAGAAATGTATTCTTATTTGCCATTCAGAATTTTGCTTCTTTGGAGGGATCTCAGAACATGAGTGCTCTGCAGAGGGTTTTCTTTGGTAGACAGTCTGCTTGGGAAGAAAGGGATGGAGGCAGCCAACTTTTTATACAGCAAGAGCAAGTAAAACATGGAGATAAAAACAAGAGGTTTTTTTTTTTTTTTTTTTTTTTTTTTAAAAAGAAAGAATACTGACAGATCTAAATTAGTGACTAGTCTCTATATGTCATTGCTGGTCTCCCAGGACCTGTAATTTAAATTATAGAAACCTGGCATTGTTGCAAAGGGTGGAGAGAGAACAAAAGTATAGTCAAGAATTTTATCCCTTGTACAGCTCATCACAGGACTTGTAAATGTCATTCCTTTGCTATGCATGTCACCACAAAGTTAGCCAAAAACAGGGAGAAAGTTTTGACTCTGCTAAGGATTAGTCCGGGCAAGTTGTTCCAGAAGATGCAGGTTTCCTGAAGCTCAAAGGTCACCAACTCCCTCTCTGAAAGATAAATAATGGATTTTTTCGTGGTGCAGTTTCACATGTCCTTGCAGAACATGTTAATAGGATTCAGCTTGAATACTGCTCTCACTGTGTCACTTAAAAAAAAAAAAAAAAGTGAATGGAAGAATTCTCTGAGAAGTTGACCTCTGATTCAAGTAGTTGAATTCTTCTAAATCGATCCAGCAGAGGGCAATAATATGTCAATACAGTAGCTAGTTCTTAAGAACTAGATATGGAAAAAAACAAGGGAGGAGGAAATCACTTAGATTTTTGGAAAATCTATTCCCGCATTTTACTGGAAGTATATTGAAACATAGAGTGCTGCAAAACCTTCGGGACTGTCTGTGAATCCATGTTAAAATACACAAAGTACATTATTCCCAATTAGATTACAATTTTTATTCTATGAATATTAATTCCTTACTGAGATTTATTATGTTAGATATTTATTTTATCCTCAGTAGAAGGAAAACAGTTATTTATGTTTATTTTGTTACAGAGCAATTGAACAAAAAGTATTAATTGCATAGTTAAGTAGGATATATAATGGTTATGTATCTTAGTAGAATCTATTAATGATGCAACTTACAGCTGCTACTTTGTACAATTAAAAGGTATCTTTAACTCCACCACAGCAGTGGGAGTATAGTATAGTCAGATCTCTTTAGTAGTACTGGTTTCACTGTGTCTCTATTTCTTCTCAGGAAAGAATGAAATTGAGTAAGATGGTTGCACCATAAAATAATGTTTATGCTTGGTGGTTCTTCAGAGTTACAGGCTGTTCTTTGTGGCTTCTCACATGGGACTGACTGGATGCTAAGAGTGGGGTCTGATGGCAATATCTCATTTTATGACTTAATACATTCCAGGCAGACATGGTAATGCATGTATATAAATTGAAATACTGCTTTATAAGGGGGAACTTGTCTCGTTTGCACTTAAAGAAGGTCAGCCTCTTTGGGCAACACTTAAAACTCTGCTGGTATACTCTGTTGATCTCCTTGCAGTTACTTTCTCCATTTTTTCTTACCTCATTGGGTCTCAGTGATGCTTGGTGAATCCACCTTCTTTGACTGATGATGTTGTTTGCAAGGCTAGTAGAAAAGCTATACTAGGTATTAGCTAGCAACATATGCAGACATGGTAATACTTCCACTGAGCTTTTCAGATAACATTGTGGTTGGTTTTGCTTTCCAACGGTAGCACCAAACACTGACTTGTTCTGAAATTGAGAGCTGGAGCATATATGCCATCCAAAGTGTACATGTTCAGAATGATGTATGGGTATCTTGATGAGTCTGATAGGAATCAGTATTCTTCTTGTAACAAAGACACCTTGAGACTGGTCAGTTTGGAATTGTGCACTGGCACAAGTTTTTTCTGCTCACTCAGCACTCCCAACAACAGCAGCATAAATCATTTAATATTATTCCACTGGTCATTGAAATAAAGCAAATTTCAGCCTTCCTCTCCTTCCACTGTTTCTCAACTATGTTAATGAAACCCTCATTAAGTGCTATTACTGTGACCTTGAGTTTTGTTTCATGAGCCACAAAGTCACCTATGTAAGTTAAACATCTTGTGGTTAATTTCAAACCTTGTGTCACAGACACAAGATGGGTGAACCACAGATTACAGTTAGCACTTCTTATGAAGAAATTCAGGTTCTTTTATGTCTGTAGGTATATAGGCTAATTAAGTTTGGTGTTTGCTTATGTCAATCTTTTTTCCCTCATGGCAGCGACTTGTGAACAGTGTAGAGAAACCCATTGCTGATGCTGCAAAGCTCTACTGGGCCTTTCTAAGAACAGAAGAGTCGGGGGTTCTCGGTGCTCTAATCACTGTGATGCTTTACACAGTCCTGTTCATCATCTCCTCGGCAGTGTTGTACCTTTACTTTCTAAGGTATGTCTCTTAGTTTCATTATTTGCTTAGGAATTTAGGCACAAGCTCCTTCTCTTGTAAGATAAAATACGGTGATATCAGAAAAGAAGTTTCAATGACACATGTCCAAAACCCAAAATTGCAGACAATCAGGGAGGTGGTGGCTCCTGTGGCCCCAGTGAGTCAAAGAGGCAGCCATTCCACAAAAGGAATGTAATTGATACCATGAGTTTTCATTATGTCTATGAGCCTCTGTTCCACTGGCTTCCAACAGTGGTGTCTATTTTCACAGTTTAAACTTTAAAGTATGTATACTTGCATTTAGGTACCTTGGAAGACCTTATCTTTAGACTTCCAAGTAGGGTTTTTTAGATGACAAGATTTTTGGCTTGATGTGACTGAGGCTTAAATACAGTTCACGATGTAGAATCATAGAATATCCTGAGTTGGAAGGAACCCACAAGGATCATCAAGTCCAACTCCTGGCACAGATGTGACTTATTCCAACTCATTTTTTCCATGACTTCTTCATATTATCAGTATTGCTAATCTTTAGTTCATCATGAAGTTTGACCACCTGACTTTCCACCCATCTAGCTGGCACCATTAATTGTACAGGCAATAGGGACGGGCGTGGGACACTGGAAACAAATGAGATTGGTTATCTAAATTTATCTCGGTTATCTATTGCCTAAAAAAGTTTTTTTTCTTTTTTTCTTTTTCATTTTATTTTTTTTCTGAACAATTCATCCATAATGCAGTATCAATGTTGTACTGGCATTTGATTCCCTTCAGCAATGAACACTGAATAAGCACCAATAAAAAACTGTATGCAAAGGCAGGGTCTAGGCAGGTATAAGAATAGCAAAGCTCAGCATACTCCCTCCATCTGACAGAATCATCTCTCAATCTCCTTTGCACAAACTCCATTGCAGCAGGCAGAAAAAGATAAATGGCTATCTATATTTCTGCATAGCATTTCAGAGTTCCTGCATTCCTGGAAGCTGTACACAACTCCAATGTACTGGTAGTCTAGTTAATTAGTTTCTGAGATGTTAATGCCTTCTTAATCATTGACTTAATAGTTTTGAATAGCTTCATAAGTTTTAGCTGCTGTCGTTTATTACTCAGGAAAATTAATTTAAATTAAAACATTTGTAAGGCAGGTTTTTATGAGAATATTACCAACATCTTCATTGTCTGGGGAACAGGTGCAAGATCATCAAAGGTTTCTTTCCTTCTGGATCAATTTTCCCATAATGTTTTCCAATAAAGGGGTGGGGGAAGAATGTTACTGGGGGAAAAATGTTGTCTTAGTACAACACATTTTAAAAATGATTCATAGCAAAATACAAAAACAAAGGGAAGATAACAAAATCTGTTACTGTGCATAAGGTCTTTGAAGTTCTTTGCCTGATAACAAAAAGAAACATTTTGAATACTGGAGTCTGTGAAGGGTGAAGTTATACTATGAGCTTCTGAGATTGGATAAACTTTCTTTTCCTCATCAGTCCATACCCCAGCAAAATGGGAACCTTGTACCTAGGATACTTAAGCAACACATAGTCCACTAATGATAGCATTAAAACATTTTTAAGTATCTTTAGGGAAAACATCTCTGCAATTCATAACTTTAACTGCATTCCCTTAATATTGATATAATGGCATTTGTTTCTAAGATAAAAGTCTTGTTTACAATACTTTTATTTTTGTGTGAAATAGTCCTCATCTGTTATATCCCAGAAGTATTCTTCTTCTAAGTGTTGAGTGATGTCTTTTGTGTCCTAAGACATTGGTCCACAGGAAAGACTTTGTTCCTTGAGTGCCATTGTTTGGAATTACTCACCTATTTGCCATTTAGCAGAATTGTTCAGTATAAAAAATATAAAAAGTATTAAAAATATAAAAATATAATAATAATGTAATATTTATAAAATATGTAAAAGTACAAAATTTTTTCACTGTCAAAAAAAATATGAGAAGAACAGTCAAACCACCAGAACACCAAAAAAAGTAGGGGAAATACCTGTTTCTAACAGCTGGAAAGCCTTGTGCCAGCAGTAGGCATCTTTTTGCATCTTTATAAAACAACATACCTGTCTCCCCTTGGGTGACTTGGGAGTCTGTAGTACCTGTAGCATGGAGAGATATTCTCATTACTTTTTGTAAAAATGTAGTGGCTCTGGTTACAATTCCTTCATTTTAATTCCACTAGACAGTAGAAACAGTCAGGAATTTGTTGGTGAAATGTTTCCTGCACTGTGAGAAAATCCAGACCCAGCTCAACTAAAAGTGTCTGCTGGAAAGGGTTTATGTCTAAATTTCTTGGTATTGAATTTTTTTTTTTTTTTTGAAAAGCTTCAAAATTCTACATTTTTCAATATTAAAAGCAAAATGATTTTTTTACAGGATTTTTTTTTTTTTACAGTTGTTTTCAAAAAAACGTGAGAAAGTCTCAAATAAAGACATGATGTATTGTTATAAGCATTCTACCATTCAGTTTTTGGTTTGTGTAAATTTTTGAGAAGTCCATTTTTTGATCTGATTTTGGATAGAAAGCCATTTCAATGTTTTTTAGTCTTCTTTGTGACAAATAAATGAACTTGTAGATATTTGACTGCATCTCATATCTCTAGGACATAGCATCTGAGTTTTGATTTGCTCTTTATTGCATTAGCAATAGAAATTATTCTTATTATATTTATAGAAGCCATGTTAAGATGCAAGAAGTGTTTTATTAGTTTTCCAGCCAAAGAAAAGAAATACAGGTAACAGAAAGCAGGTAACAGAAGCAGGCTGAGTATATCTGGGCAAAAGGAACAACGCTGGAAGACAGGCTTCATGATTCCTAATTAATTCAAAGTTAATTATATTGTTTATAACCATGTGCTTAAAATCTTCATATAGAAAATGTTTATGGCAGCAAATAGACAGTAATTTAACTGCATTAAATTTTGCTTCATTTAAAATAAGAATGTTACATTAAGTGAGCTTAAATGAATGGCAAGGTCTTGTTCTTGTTTAGCAAGATAAGTGGCAAGTTATTGAAATCGCTGACCTGGAATTTCAAAGACAAACAGCATAAAATATCATTGTTTTGAGATGAGTAGGAGGCCAGAAAGCCCACAAGCTTGATTAGAAGTTTTTCAACTAAAATCAAGATATTACTAAAGTATGAGTGAATGTCTGCAAAAATGTGTCTGTTGTAAAATAAACATCTAACGTAGATACATACAGTAAGAGAAAAACTTATTTGAAGAGGCTGTGGAATATGCAAAATAATGCCGTGAAAGGTATTAATAATGTTTAAAAAAACCACTTCTATTCCACAATGTGTTTTAAGATGCTTTAGTACTCTTCCCTACCTCAGCACTGATTTGCATTCCATGCTTTGGATTTTCTTCTATTATTTCCTGATACCCAGTTTATATTCCCAGGGTTAGCCATATCTCAATTACATTGTTTTCTGCCAGTCTCTTGTTTTGACAAAAGAATCCCAAACTGACATCTAGGAAACTACAGCAAATTTATGGCTACAGCTTCAAAAACGCATGTTTCAAAAAGGGAGGGTATGAAAAAGATGTACATAGAAACCCTTTGCAGCAAAGCAGGGGATATATACCCCTAATCTGATGGTGAGGCCAGCTGCCAGATTTCAGTATTGGAATAGCTACTCAATCACAGAAATTCCTGGATATAGAGTTTGACCCTAAGGTACATATTCCCTTTTCAAGTTAAAGCTAAAGCTCCTTCTGAGATCAAGTTGAAAAACTGCCTGTTGGTGCCTCTCCTTATTTCTGTTCCATACTAAATCTCAGTTTGGTGCAAAATTGTACTAAACTATTTATTGAGTGTGCTTTGCTGCAATTCCTGTGTGCGCTGTAAGGTGAGATGTAGAGCTAGTGTAAATGTGAACTTTATTCTGATTTGGTTGATCGGTCTGCTTCCCTCCACCTACCCATTGGTTATCAAATACATGCTAACACAACACCCAAGAATAAGGATCAGCCACAAAACTGCTTCTAGCGTTGCTGCACATGAAAAGGAGAAGAGTTCAGGGGGTTAAAGAATCTGTGCCTGTGCTCATTTCCACCTGCCAATAAATGAAAAGACCTGTGCAGCACCACAGAAATCTGGGCTTTTTGTTGGCTGCAAAGCCACACAGCAATCCCTATTAGTAGTCATGCTTCTCATGACTACCCAGCCAGTCACTGTGAAGGATGGAAAAGCTGAGCTTGGCACCAAGCAATGACTGAATTGTAATAAAGTATGAGCTTGGAAGAGGGTACAAAAGGAAAGACCTCAGTTCAGTATCCAAGACTGAGATTCCATATTTTCAGATTTATTTATTTATTTATTTATTTTTCTGAGACCCTGGTTTTGCATTAATAGTTGAATGAGAAAGAGGTTCCATTTGAATTTAACAAAAGTGTTTTTAAGTTTTAAAGTTCATCTAAGGCTAAAAATGTGACACTAGGCTTTCCCAAAAGCCTCACAATATTTCTTGGTTTCACCTACATTAAGAAATACCACACAGCAAGCCTTTCTTGTGGTAGAGAATTTTACTGTGTAGTGCTTATTCAATTCCCTACCACAGCACAGAAATGTCATAGAAAAACAAAACCAACAAATGAACTTTTCTAACATCAAGAGAAGTTTAGATTGCACAGACTTCAGGTTTGGCGTTGAAAAAAATCATGAGTAGTTCCTTCTCCATATGATGTGGTTTGCCCATTATTAAACTCTGGCACAACAGGACTTCCATTCATGCCTAAGTGGAGGTACTACATGTTAGCACTGGGGCTAGTTACCCAGCCCAAAGCTGAGAACAGACATTGGACACTTTTGAAGATAAAGAACTCCTTTGGATGTCAGTATCTTGTAATAATTTAAAGAAATTGCTGCTTACAGTTATGTGATTTGACTCAGGTGTTGTAAAGTGTTCAGAGATTTGGATGGGAGGGAAATGTATGTTGGAGAACCTGTGGGATAGAAGCTTCTTATTCCTTAAGGAAAAAAAAAAAAAAAAAAGTAAAAAAAAAGTATGTAATTTCTGTCTTTAGGCTACATAATGAAGGGTGGCTGTTGGATCTATTTCGACGCATTCATGGTGAAGAAGGTGCATTCTTTGTTCCACTGGATTTAGAGATTTCCAGTCAGGAGCTGAGCTACATTATGAAAAGAGCTGAGCAGTGGAGAGGAATCAAAGGTGAAAGACGGATGGTGAGTGGCAAAGTGTGTTCAAGAAGAGTCTGTGATGCACTAGTCCAAATTAATGCTTTGTATTCCTGGATATTACCTGAAAGCACACAGATATACAAGAAAATGATTCTTAAGGACCTTATTTATTTATTTGTTTGTTTGTTTATTTATTTATTTTTGATGGAGAAGCTAAGAAGCATGTTCAGGAGATTTTTGTGAGAAGGTTGCATGTGCATTGCCTGAACATCCTGAGGGATTACAGTCTGGTTAGCATCCAAAGGCTTAACAGCATCAGTGCCATCAAAGATTATTTACGCCATCTGTTGATTTCTGACTGAGTCATAGAGACTTACTATATGTTTAAATGTCAGCATCATCCCAGAGAAGTTCTTAACCACCTGAGCAAGCTGGTAAGCCCCATAGACAAGTCAAGTCTACTCCCAGCAAGGGCATGATTGGGGCCGCCCAGAGGAGGGACATGAGTTCAGTGAGTTCGGAGGAATGACAGCCACTGTTGCTCCTGGCCCTTTCTTGCCAGGACTGCGCAGAAGAGTGGGCTGAGTTGGAACTGTGCAGTGGGAGGTAAGAAAGGTCTGAGTTGGTCTGCACTACTTTGGTTATCAAAACAACTCTGTTTTTCCATTAGGACACTAAAAACTAGTCCCGTATACAGACTTTAAACTGTGATATGCAGGAGATATATTTATACCTGTGTTTGCAAGTTGTCCAGTGTTGGTGTTCACAACCACAAGTATGACTTCTGATATTAATGGCTTTCAAAGAATTGAAAATAGCAGAAAAAACAGGGTCAGTAACCTGCAAGGCACGTGTTCTCTCTTGTTCTCCAAGTTTGCATCAGCATTGTTAATTCCCATGGGACTGTCATATAAAACAGCTCTTGGACAATAATTAAAGTGTTCATCAACTGGATTTATATGTCTGTGCCTCTGAGCACAATGCTTTGTTCAGTAACTCTACTGCTTCAAGGTAAAAATGAGCAAATTCCAGTTAGGAAGGAAATTAGCCCTCTTAAGCATGTCTGAATTCTTTTTCTTTTTTCTTTTTTTTTTTTCTTTTTTCCTTTTTTCCTTTTCCTTTTCCTTTTCCTTTTCCTTTTCCTTTTCCTTTTCCTTTTCCTTTTCCTTTTCCTTTTCCTTTTCCTTTTCCTTTTCCTTTTCCTTTTCCTTCTTTCCCACTGGAACAAGTGATTTCATGTTAGGGTCTGAGGGTCTGCAGGTTTTTCAAGTCACTATAGCTACCTCTGAAAGATCAGCAGTTTATATAAATATATAGCCTCAGTTGTCACTACTATAAACATCTGACACAGCTGTAATTATTTTCCACTTTTTTGTGTGTGTGATGACAGTTTGGACCCTGAAAGGAAAAATAAAAAGGCGAATGTACAAATTGAATGAAAAAGCAGATACTCAGTAAGCTTATTTTTTCCTGAATTGCAGAATACCAAGCTGCATTTCAATAGGGAAAGAGGGAAAGGGTTTAAATGAGAGAGTAAGCTCCCACAGCCACCTGCCTCAGACATTCCTGCTTTTTATATGTATAGCACTTTTTTTGCTTTACACTAGTAAGCTAAACAAACTACCCCCCCCCAAAAAAAAAGAAAAAAAAAAAAAGAAAAAAAATTCTGTGCTAAGTTAAAACAAAGTCATTCATGATTGATTGATTTTTACTACCTTTGTTATATGTCAAATCAGGTTAAACAAAGAATATATGGTGGATTCCATTTTACATGCCTAGACCACCAGTACCATATGGAAAAGGTATTGGTAGATAAGTCAACTGCAAACAACTACTTTTTTGTTTAAGTACTTAATGTGTTTCTAATAACATTACCAGCATATTGTTTTTTACAGCAGTGCAGAAACAGTTGAGTGAAAAAAAAAAAAAAGTAGTAGAGGATGAGGGTGAAAAGAAATGGTGAAGAATGGAAACAAAATTTGTTTTTCTGTACACAGATAGTCTGTGCCTGTATAGAAGAAACCTGGAGCGTCCACTGCTAAAATAAAAGTCATGGTAGCATTGTTCTCGGGACATAATTTTGAGGAACATGACCAGTGACTATAGACATGTAAGTGTCTGGTTCTGCTCTCAAAGTGCAGCATGGCATGTATGAAATGCCCAGAGATCCTATAAAAATGGACCCAGCCTCAGTCAGGTCCAGTAGCAGGAAGAGCACAGTCAGAGCAGAGAGATGCCCCTATGTTGCACAGGAAGCAGTACATATTTTATTTCAATTAAAGTGGGGTGATGAATGCTTTTGTCTCTGCCCAAAGTCCTCAAATTTCTGATTCTTATTCTGCCTACATCTGCACCAGTTTCATGCCTTTCCTTTATTTCCTTTATTATCACAGCCTAGCCAAATGCCAAGCTGTGATAATGAACATTCCTGTTCTGTACAGGACATACTAGTACAAACAATATGAGCAGAAAGGAGTAATAGGGAAGGAGTGCAGAAGTTTTCTTCCTTGACAGCAGTAGGATCTCTTCCACTTGCTTCAGTGGGCATAGGATCTACTTCACAATGAGCAAAATTTGTGCATGGAAAATACTGCCCCAAACTCCTGAGCTATCTGTATGAATATTGTGAAAAAAGAAATTATATTCTTCAGGAATGTGAAATCTTCCCAGTCTGCTCCAATTTTTTGCTTATATTATTTTGATGGAATGAAGATTCCTAAGCTTTTTGGCAAATCTAGTTTTATAGCAAAAAATATATTCCACTGCAGAAATAACGTTCTCCATGTGGAGCATCTCCCTGCAAGATCAGGAACTATGTTTTCAAGTCTTTTATGCTCTTTGATATTGAAAATTCTGAAAGATCCTTTTTGCTGCCATGAATTTGCATAAGGTATTTATCTTGTCCTTTTCTTTTTGTATGTCTAATTGTACAAAGTAATCAGTATGGAAGACACATCACCAGGTATTATTGCGTGCATTATTAATGTGTTAATTTTTAAATAAGATACCAAATTAACTGTGAGCGGTTTTTATAAAGGGAAGCATGAGAATGTCATATATTTTATCATTCTGTATAAAAAATATATTTTAAATGGAGGTCATTCAAGTAAATAGTCAGTCAAACCTTCTGGAAAAAATAGGTCTACATTTTTGCAGTATTTTCTTGCTATTAACTGTGTGCTTCTCGTTTTTATTCCCTGGATTAAAAATTTCTCCATAAATGGGTATTTTATAATATGCTTAATTTCCTTTTATTAAATTGATAAATGCAGCAGCAGAGGACACATTTACAGTATGATGAGAATTTAAGGTTATTGCATTTTTTAATTTTTATATTGTTCACAGAAGTGATTTATCATTTGTAGAATGAAGTCCGTGCCATCATTTCAAAGTATTTTTAGTCATTCTTTTGATAGGAAAGAGGTCACTTTCTGTAGACCAGGAAGATAGCACTCTATTAAACTAATTTGCCTACATGCAAATTTTGTCATTTTTACCTCATTAACTATTTATCATAGAGTAAAAAAATATATATATTCATGAAGGGGCAGCTAGCAGCCTGATGGAGCTGGAACTAATATTTTGCAACTCTAATGATTTTTTGCATCCTTAATTAGATAGCATAAGGTTGATATGATTAGGTCAGGATGTAGTGTTTTTCATTAAAATACATTTTAGAAGCTGTATTCATAATCTGCCCTTGCAATTAAATAATGAGCCTATGAGTTTAATATTATCGACCCAATTATTATCCCATGCAAAAGTATACCTTTAATAAATTTGTGCTGTAGGACCTTCATTAGCAACAAAAAGAATTATATTTCCCAGGTACACAGATTACACGGCCACAATCACATTTACGCAGTAGTTAGGAATGCACCAAAGAGAAAGCCACCAAAGCCCAGCCCAGCACAGAAACAACACCTGATTATTTTTAAGAAGTCATGTACAACGTATTTAATGAGGCAGGCTGCAAAGTGGTGAAAATGCTGCCTACCAACGCAGGCAGAAACATTTGCAGAAACGGTGTCCTGTGCACCTTCTACTAGAGGGAAGCCTGAATCTCCACCCCTCAGCCTTACTAGATATAGAGGCAGATGTGTATATTTATGGAGGTTTATGGAGATGGGCCTATGTTAACTGTATGTCAAATTCCAGAGTTGGGAATATTGGAACTAACTGCAGACAGCAGTACATTAACTCACCATTGGTCAGTGGGAGGTCAGGATTTCAGCCTGGCTTTTTTCTTGTTGGTAGATGTTCCAAAAGTGACAAAGTCCTCGCCAAGCAACCAGTTTCCCAAACTGAGTAAGTTCAGAGCAAAGTATCCAGTGAGGGTTTATTTTGCCCAATCAAGTAGGAGGACAATAATAAAAGAATAAGAAAAAGAAAATATTTCTAGTTAAACAATTTCTGACCAACGATGGTTTTCTGAACTGGGTCTGTGGTGGCTGGATTTCTTGTTAGAGATGTATGATATCCAGTGCATCATTTTACTCATGTTTAAAGTCTCTGAACTGAATTCAGAGTGAATTGAATATCACGTGAATTGCTATTGGAAGGAGTAAGAAAGAAAGAAATCTGTCCCTCAGTGATTTTTACTGGATTTAGCTCTTAATATACTGTCATTATATACTGCCATTTCTTGCAGTAGGACTTTTTACATATGAATACTGCTGAGTAGAGAAGTTATACAAGCAGTAAGCTGAAACAACATTGTTAGTATATCAAGCATAGACCCAAAAGTCTTGCATGTAGAGAGGGTATCTAAAAAAAAATGCAAGCTCTATAGGCAAAACGATAACGTGAAACCTACACTTGAAGTAAAGCCTGATGCACTGCAAAATTATTTTAATGAGACCAGGGCTAATTTTCTATTTCTAAAATGATATTATACTAAACCATAAAAAATTACACGTCAGTAGTTTTTTGAAAGGAAAATATATTTGTAATTATCTTGAAAACACAATATTACTTCAGGGCCTATTATCGACACAATTTTTGGCACCACTTTACACTAATTTGCATTTATTACTCTCAGGCCAACTATTAATATGTTAATAAATAAGGCATTAATACTTGTTATTTAATTGCTATCTATTTATTCCTGTTCAATAATGCATTAATTGCTTGTGAATAGTTGAGGGCAAAATCCTGCCCTTGCTGGTGGAATGGCAGAGAGAAAACTGGTGTTGGACATGTTGGTGTTGCAGGAACCACTGAGCTGACAAGAGCAAGTGCTTTAACACACTTAGTGCAAAGAGGTGACATTTCCGTCTTGTCTCAGAGGAAGCTTTGTGAGTCTTCAGATACCTGGTGAATATACTGACAGGACAACTGATGTATTTTCTGACTGAAGGTTGAATACTAATTTGGATGTGATTTCTTGCCTCTTTTTGGAGAAAACTGATATTTAGGAATTCCTAAATATTCATTTAGGAATGAATAAGGAGACCAGGCCAAATGTTGGACAAGAATATCAGACAGTTCAACAGAATCAAATAGATATGATCGTCTTTACTTTAGATATTTTTGATGTGGTAAGGTAAATTTTTCCCATGGACACAAATTGAAATTTTACTATTGCCTTTCAAGGAAATTTGATTTCCAAAAGACAGGTGAAAAATATCAGGAGTATGGGCTATTTTGGGTTAAAGTAATAATAATAATATAGAGAAATGAGAAGGAAGGAGTAATAGCCTGATTGAGAGCTGTGGGATCCTGAAGAAAAGGTTAGCAAATCACAAGGAGAAAAGAATGGAAAGTTGTTCTGGAATTTGTGCAAAAGATACAGCCATGCCAAGGAAAATTTGAAGAAATTGAGCCAGATGTTATTTAAGAGAAAGTGATGGAAGAACAGCTATACAATCATGTTACTTCTGGTTGCCCTAAATAATTTTATTAATTAGAGATGATATCACTGGACTGCAAATGGAAAAATGAAAACTTGTTGAGAAATCAAAAGATAGAAAATATAAATTTTCTTTGAATGTTCTCACTCTTACAAACTCTTTCTGACTACCTTATATATGTATACTTCATATACTTGGTATTATCTACTTAAAACCACGAATGGCTTGGATCTCTCAACCTGTGGTGGAAGACATGGCATTGTAATTGTGACTTGTGGTTTCATTTCCCAAAACTAATTATGGTGATCTTTGAGAATCCTAACAATTTGTGAGTTCTCTGTCAAGTTCTTAGCCTAACCCCTTAGTGTAAAACTTTCTGGAGCTTCTCAAAGGAGATCTCTACACAGTGTCTCCAAAATTTTAGATTTTACCAAGAATCAGAAACTAGTTTACTGTGCTGTAAGAGTAGCATAGGGGAGTAGAAAGCAGCAGTAAAGCCAAGTATGAGTATATCCAGAAATATTAACGGTAATACAGAATTTATTTATTTCAGCCAGTATGAATAAATCACTATGCTGATCTGAAATAATGCAAAATTGTTTTAACCACTAGCAGTAAACCACCCTGCTAGTCCAGGACAGTTCAGCTGAGCATACTGAAGCAACAAGTTTAGGCAATAAGAAATAATCACCTTTCTGCTACAAAAATCATAGGAGGGAAACCTTGACCCCTTTGCAGTCAACAGCAAAACTTGCAGTGACTTCATTAGGGCCAGATTTTCAGTCTGTCTGTGGTAAGCAAAAGAG